TTTAAATCTATAAAATAATTTTGAAAAATTGGTGTTAGCACTAATACTGTCAAACCATTGGAGCATTTTGATAGAGCAAGTTTTGGTCCATTACTAATCGAAATCGTTTTTCAATATCCAAATTCTCAAAGCTTTTTAATATTAAGACAATTGTTAAATCTTGTCGTTTCAATCCACCTTAAATTAAATATCATGAATCTAAACAATGTCTTATAAATGAGAATTTAAATTATTATTAATTTTAATGGGGATCTTATTAATTAAGTGTTAAGTTGTAGAGCCTAGGTTTGTATAGTTGTGAACGGTATGTAATAGAACCTGATATGTATTTATTTTCACATCTAGAATTTCTGAAAGCCTAAATGTCGTTGAATCAATCGCAATAAATATCACATTATAAACTTTGTCATTATTGCCCGACTGGTTATTGGTTTCTGCTATCAAGAGTATGGGGCACTCCAATTAAGGCTGTCAGAGAAAATTCACACCAAGCGTGCTGCTTATCTGATCAATAAGACTAATGCGTTTTCCCAAACGCTCACAGAACTCAAAATACACTGCCATTTTTTATATTAGTGTCATATACTGATTGCGAAGCCTGCAATAGTTTTTAAACTTTGAAAATAGTTCTTTAACATCTGAAGTAACTTTACAATAAAAATGTTTTGAATAATTATTAGGATAGAAGATAATAATTACAATAATAAGTAACACATCTCACACACAGTCTTCTGATCACAAATTAGTTCCTGCCTACCTGCCTGCCACAAATTGAGCCTGTTCTATGGTACCAGACTATGATATATCTTATATATAAAATTCTCGTGTCACAATGTTCGTTCCCGTACTCCTCCGAAACGGCTTGACCGATTCTCATGCAATTTTGTGTGCACATCGGGTAGGTCTGAGAATCGGCCAACATCTATTTTTACCCTCCTACCCCTACCATACCCCTAAATGGTAATGGTGACCCATCCCTAATTTTTTTTTGTTTTGCAATACAAGGTTTGCCGGGTCATCTAGTAGGCTTATATATTTCTAAATACATGCATATCATAGAATGCGTATCATACCAATTGCAATTGTGTATCATTGCGTATCATTGCAAACGCAAAAATTTTGAATGAATGCCTGTTGCCTGGACAAAATTAGGTACGAGTACAGAGATATATTATAATCCGGATTACGTATTTTTTATCCTGGAAAATTGATTCACAAAATCGAGGTTATTGCGAGCGAAGCCGAAAGCCCTTAAAAAATTAAAGTATTAAAGCTAAAAATAGCTAGTTCTTTCGAGCAACTTCCATAAATTTATAAAGTCATATAGTTGAACTAAATAAGTATGACGTCACGATGTTTCACGGCCGAGATTAATATTTCAACTGTCCGAAATCAATACGATGTTGGCTACGACAACTTTTGATTTGTATTATGACAAACGAAAGGAGACAAGCGCATTAAATATTTAAGTCGTTTTTAAGGTTACTTACCTTTGTTAATATATTATTTACTATATGTAGGTACTATATTTACACACCTTACTACGCAGGAGAAAAGCACTGCAAAGAGAAGGAAAACTTGAAACAAACCCTGTATCAACCTGTCTGGCCAGCCTGGTATCCATCCAGCAGTTGATTATTAAAGGCTGTTGATCATGATGAGTGCCGTCGCCCGATTTTGGGGGGGAGGACTCGAAAGGCGTCAATACACTTGTAACTCAAGAGTTGCAAGTATGCATAGGCGTGGGTAGTCACTTGCCATCTGGCGACCCGTGTGCTTGTTTGCCCCCCTGGAGCATTAAGGTTCTTGGTTACTCAATTTGTAAATAACACAGCAGACACCTAGAGATCTTAGCGGTGATTGCCTACATTATATAAGACACTTATTTATTTTTATCTTATTACAAATATTATTAATTAGAGAGTTTTAACGGATAAATATTTTTTACTCAATCCGGAACGGCTGATTTAATCTATATATCCCTGATGATATTTGGAATAATAGTCTGAAATAATACTAAGACGACTTTCTACTGTATTCACATTTTTGAACGCAAAAGCCGATAGCATAAATTAGTCTACGAGTATATGTAAAAATTCCGCATTCCGATATCTGCTTCTTTTTAGAGTAAAACTTGACACTGAATTTTCCCGGCATGCTGATTATTCCAAAACCCACTTTCCAAAACTTTTTACGAAAACTATAGTATTCAAGAGGAAAATTACTGAGAGCTAAAATTAATATTTTCCGTTTGTGTAGCACGTCTTTTCTCAGAAGGCAAAAAAAACAGGTCACGAAGCTCTTAAAGACGGGCCAGCTACTTTTAAAGTAATGCAGGTCACATGAGATATGTCTTTTATACAAAATCTTTGTGCATACAGGTAAATAAAATGTATTTGTAAGTCACAGTGTATTACATTTGCCTGTATGAACGGGGATAACGTAATATGAGGCACATATGAGGTTCTTGGTTATTTTTATGATAAAGGTGGCAAATGAGCAGGCAAGTCAGCACCATCAGGCAGCTTTAAAAAGTTGAAAGATCTGCACAAATAAAGCTCTTTTGACACGATATACAATCCGCTTCAAAGATTGTTTTTATTTATTTTTCGTGTCAGCTGAATTCCTCATTTCTCTTCAATTAAGCCACAATGTGAGGCGTGGCAGGGTATAGCTAGAGCTTAATAGACTGACAAGGAACTGTCAAAGTATAATAAGTAGTGCAGTAAAACTATTCTAGCTGTTACTAAAATAAATAAGACCGACAAATGTAATAAAATATTTGTAGCCACGGCACAAAAGAGCCAATCAAACCTCTCAAGAATTCCAAACTGTAGCTTCACTTTTAACCCTATTATAAGACTTCACGAACGATAATAATAACTGTCAAAAGTGTACAACTTCATCTTTTTGATTGAAGCAACAGCCAAAGTTTTCAATTCCTATCCTATCAAATGAATTTTAAATAAAGCAACTCAGAAGTACTGCTGGTTTTACGAACCAAGGTCAACATTAAGAGTTCAAGATGTCAAAGTTAAATATTCTGAATTAAGTTTTAATGAGTGTGGCACGGTATTTATACGACTTAATGACTCAAACATAAAATCTTCTAATCTATATAATTATATTATGCTTATACTTACTTATAAAATCTTTGTGCCCCTTATTAAATAAAAATGGCCTACGGAATACGACTGCACGGATGGCGTAGTGGTTTAAGCGGTCGCCACGCCTTTACTACCACGCTGAGTGTTGTGGGTTCGATCCCCACATGGGACGACACTTTGTGTGATCCACAAATTGTTGTTCTGAGTCTGGGTGTTTTTGTGTCTGTTTCATGCATGTTTGTAAAGTCCCCCGCGACACAGGATATATTCCTAATGCGGGAGTTGTCTTTTAAAAAACAAAAAAAAAGCTAGGTTTTTTTAAACAAGATGTGCTATTGAGTTAAAAATTATGTGCACAGCTACATACAACTGTTCGGGTGTAGTATATACGTATACCTGTCATTGTGTAAAAGTCAACACTATGACAGGTCAAGTTGTATTGGTCAGTAAAATAAAACAAGACATTGAAAACCGTCACATTTCGATCAGCCAATTTCTAGTAAAATAAAACATGAAAATATATCATATCGCACATCACATCAACAACCTTTAATAGTCCACTGCTGAAAATAGGACTCTCCTTAGAAAGGAGGTTTTGGCCTACTATGAAATGAATTAAAATATATAACATTACTAGCTAACCCGGCAAACGTTGTTTTGCCATATACATTATTTCAAATTTTTCTGTCAATAAAAAAAATTAAGGGTATGAAAAATAGATGTTGGCCGATTCTCAGACCTACCCGATATGCACACAAAATTTCACGAAAATCGGTCGAGCCGTTTCGGAGGAGTTCAAATTCCAACACCGTGACACGAGAATTTTATATATTAGATTCAAAGTCATGGAGGTGTCACAGAGCGCTATCAGTCCACCCATTACCACGATCGATGGTAATTCAACCAAAAACGGGTGAACAAATGGAATACTACTAGAGGGGGTTCATCGCGTGATGGATGGGATCACGCGATGAACCCGTCATCCGCACGGTGAATCCAGGGAACGCTAAAAAATAGTACAATACCTTTAAAATACCATAAATAAGTCCCGATTAAGACATAAATAGAATAGAATAAAATATATATAACTATGGCAGAGTAAGAAAACCATATCTACACAGCAGAACCTACCGAAGAAATAATAATAATAACTACACAGCTCACAAATGAAAATGTTACCAAAAAATATATATAATACGTGGTAATAAACTGTACGATCACCTCAAAATACATGAGATGTCATTAAGTGATCAAAAACTTGCAAAAACCAATGTGAATTTGTTGTTTGCTTTCTTCTTGCCACGTAGCGCGTGTTCATAGTTTATAGGCCTAAGAATGATACAGATAAACAAAGGTTACTTTCATGATAAATCAATCGAAGGAGCCTTACATTAGTCACTTTTGATCTGAGATCTCAACTACCATCCATCCTCTTTCGCTCCCGCTCCTTGGTCAAATCAAACTGCGCGCGTATCCCCATATTCTCACACGTATACACTTTTGTCTCTTTTCATGAAATAACCCTCATAGATCGCAGGAAAGTGAGATACAGCTATCTGCTTTTTTTCAGTTTTATTAGAGACACCGAAATTAATCAAATGATTTTATCATTTATCATTTATGTTAAAATTGTAACACGTTTAAAAAATATTGTCAAATCCGAGGTCTAAATTTAGTAGCACTCTCAATCTCAAAATAGGTTACTTACAAAAAAAATATTTAACAAGCTAACCAGGCTGAATAGAATTTGAAAAATGTTCGATACTTTTTGACGTCAACGTTTTCAAATGCGCATGGGTGCATTTGTTTTAAGTTTCTCTATCGCGTAGGTCGCGGAGAAAGGTCGTTGAGTTGGTCTTTGAAGCTATTCGTTGATAAGTATTAAAACTAGAAATGAGAGAAATTGTGCACATACAAGCTGGCCAATGTGGCAACCAAATTGGTGCTAAGGTAAGTGAGACTATCGAATTAGAATATTAGTATCGTTTGTGAACTCAAAAATCAATCAGTTGTACACAGAAATCTGCGCAGGTAGGTATTTTTGGCAGTTAGTACCGCATTATAGCCGCTATCAGATTGTTGAAATTGCTCATGTGCTGTCCTAACCTAAGTTTTGCAAACACATTATCGGGATAGACTAAAAGAGATGAATCTTCGCAAAAAATAAACAAGCAACAATACATATTATTCTATTCTATTCTTCGCGAAACAAGCCATTGCCAAAATGGCATTTGTTTATAACGTCTTTTTTTCTGTCTTTACTGCTAGTACAACTCTAAACGCATCCTTTAATATTTCACCACATCTATATATATAACTACACGAGCACCTAGTTTACTGGTTGTATACTCGATTATGTACGAAGTTTTCATTATTCGCAGTTCTGGGAGGTGATTTCCGATGAACATGGTATTGATCCTACGGGCACTTACCATGGCGACTCGGATCTGCAGCTCGAACGTATTAATGTGTACTACAATGAGGCTACGGGTGGAAAGTATGTACCGCGAGCCATCCTCGTAGATTTGGAACCTGGCACTATGGACTCTGTTCGCTCAGGGCCCTTCGGACAAATCTTCCGCCCAGATAATTTCGTCTTCGGGCAATCTGGTGCAGGAAATAACTGGGCTAAAGGACACTACACAGAGGGAGCCGAATTAGTTGACTCCGTCCTCGATGTTGTCAGAAAAGAAGCAGAAGGGTGCGATTGTCTACAAGGCTTTCAACTTACCCATTCTCTTGGAGGAGGTACCGGAGCCGGTTTAGGCACATTATTAATTTCGAAGATTCGAGAAGAGTATCCTGATCGTATTATGAACACGTTCAGTGTAGTACCGTCACCGAAAGTATCGGATACAGTAGTGGAACCATATAATGCTACATTGTCTGTGCACCAGCTAGTAGAAAATACTGACGAATCTTATTGTATTGACAACGAAGCTCTTTATGATATTTGTTTCCGTACACTCAAATTGACCACGCCAACTTATGGGGACTTGAATCATCTAGTGTCCGCAACGATGTCGGGCGTCACGACTTGTCTTAGATTCCCCGGCCAATTGAATGCAGATTTGAGGAAGTTGGCTGTGAATATGGTGCCGTTCCCTCGTTTGCATTTCTTTATTCCTGGATTTGCTCCACTTACATCTAGAGGAAGCCAGCAGTATAGAGCTCTAACTGTGCCAGAACTTACTCAACAAATGTTCGATGCAAAGAATATGATGGCTGCATGTGATCCTCGCCACGGCAGGTATTTGACTGTTGCAGCTGTCTTCAGAGGTCGCATGTCCATGAAAGAAGTGGATGAGCAAATGATGAATATACAAAATAAAAATTCATCATACTTTGTAGAATGGATTCCGAACAATGTGAAAACAGCCGTGTGCGATATTCCACCACGAGGTCTGAAGATGTCTGCCACTTTTATCGGTAATTCTACTGCAATTCAAGAGTTGTTTAAGCGTATTTCAGAGCAGTTTACTGCAATGTTTAGACGTAAAGCTTTCTTGCACTGGTATACTGGAGAAGGCATGGATGAAATGGAGTTCACTGAGGCAGAGAGCAATATGAACGACCTGGTATCAGAGTACCAACAGTACCAGGATGCCACTGCCGAGGAAGAAGGCGAGTTTGACGAAGAAGAAGAAGGCGGTGACGAAGGAGACTAAACTATTGCGTTTTATTAAGTCTTGCATTATATTTTATATCAGTTTTATTTCTTGAATACAGTTCATTATTACGTCATCTTTTTATTTCAATACATTTTTGCTATACCTACTGTAGTTTTCAGGTTCTATCATGAGAATTAAATATTAAAATTACTGGTAGTTTAACCGATATTTCCATAGTTACAATAGGTATACTTTGGTTTAGCGGATACTAAATACTCAATAAATCTGACTATTTCATATGTACATTAATTGGATTATTCTCAGTAATACCTTGAAATAATTCCTGACCGCAGTACTTTTTTCCTAATAGTTTTATAGCAGTACCGCAACAATACGTGTTTAGCATTTTTGTATCAAAGCAGGGATACCTGCCTCTATAATATCGTTCTAGACTGGCTGCTTCATATGTCCGTATGGATTGAGGAGCCACTGCAAATCTAAAACAGAAACCCCGTTTTCCTCATGGACCAACTATGTACGCACAACTAGTTGTGCCATCCCAGAATATGTTCTTAATGACACAACTATGCACAACTAAGCACAACTGATTTACTATAACCATTCCTTTTAGCACAACTACAGGAGGAAATAAATAACATTATTACTAACCTCTTCAGATATTGATGATTATGTTGGCCACTTCTGTCATATCTTTGTATATTAACAAATAGAAATTATAAATGCCATTTCATGTCATTTATTATCAGTAATTATTTAAAAAATATTGAAATATTATTTTCGTGCATACGCTGGCGTATATCCTGACTGTAAGCTGTCTAAGTCTACGCCAGAAAACGAAGCACTTAAAACCATAACGATGAACCTTTGTACACCGATTGTAATCAGTTGTGTATCTAGGAACAAATATAAATTGAAAATTATTTCGTTGTGCCAATAGGAATGATTTTAAAAAAATATTCCTCATGACACAACTAGTTGTGCATACATAGTTGGTCCATGAGGAAACGACGACAGAAACCCCTTATTTAGTAAGTGTACAACTTTTCTAGGACAAATTCTAAAATTTGTAGTAAGATTAATCCAAAGTTAACATAAACATCGTAAACATCTGAATTGAGAAGCCACCTGAAACACTGAAAGTATTTAATGTTTGAAAATTGTGTATTAAACCTATTAAAAATCTCGTTACAATATTGTTGAAATTCAAGAATATACAATACTTTTAATGCGGCTCCTCAATCTATATTTAAGAGCGTGAATTGCCAAGAAAGTATTGGGACAAAATTTATATTCCACTCTAAAAACATCAATCCTGACGTTCTGCATAATAAATAATCGACTGTACCTACCTGAGATCACAACAGAAACAAAAACCAGAGACACTAACATTTTGTATAAATGTCTACTGAATAAATTTGTACAGATCAACATTGTATATTTTCAGTATCCGAAAAATATATTACTTTTTTAATATTCCTTATGAATTAGCTATTTAGGGTGACCATGACAAAATGTGAAATCACAAGACTAGTTTTTGAAATTAAATTTTCAACAAATCAACAATTATCGAAATATAGGAATGTACAGAAATTTTGCCGGTTTAAGTATTTATTAATCAATTTGGACATACGGCTTACAATGCATTAATATTGGTTGGTCGGTGCTTTGACGAATTTTACAGTAAGAATCATAGTCATCGTAACAAAACATCTCACTTTCGTTGGGTAGTGACATGTATAGTTGTCCCATGCCATCGTCGCTAATTGCAGAGATAAATTCTACACATAACCTATTATTATACTACCTACTACAACCTTTTTTATCGCGTTTTGTATCTATAATAATAATTAAATATATAAGTAATAATTCACTACGTCTGCAATAACTATTTGTCAGTGTTGAGATACTGACTCATGTGTCGTGGTGTATAGCGATAGCGAGCTAATTAAATATTATTGAAGGTCGGTAGGTAGCCAGATTATTTTCAGTTAACCCCAAATAATTAGATGGAATAAATTAAAATAAATGTGTCATTTCAGGAAAGTGGACATTTCAGGAATCGAAGTAGGTCATTTCCGGATAGTGGTCATTTTAGGAAAGTAGTCATTTTAGGAACTTTCCTAAAATGACTACTACTACATGACCACTTAGTCTTTGATACTAATTCTGTGGTTGTTTTTGTTGAAAAAATTTATTTAGTCCAGTCAAGTACTACGTTTTCAGAATACGAAACGTTGTTTAACAGGACTAAAATATTTTTTGTGATTTTTAGTTTAGCTTAGAGAGTTTTTGAACAACAGAATTAGCACATCTCTCCCTCTCTATCCTCTCTAACACTTGGATAGATCCCAAAATAGGTCGGAGTCGGTCTACTAGGATACGGCTGAACCTCGATTTTTTACGCAGAGCAACTACCATCTGATCTAAAAACTACGAGATCATAAAGTCCACACTATCACAAAGTTGACATTACTTGCTGTCCACCTTAAAGGCTGTATAGTACCTTTATTTCACATTACGTAAAGAGTTTTTTGCATGAAACTATATTAATTACGCTTAAAACCCCTCATCCGGTCTCTGTGGATTAGAATAAAAGTCTTCTTTTATGATTTTCGACCTAGATGACGTTTTACTTTAACCACTCTAAAAAGTGTCTTAGCATCTGTCTATCAGTATTCTAGTTGCCATCCTAGATATAACACATTCATAATCATATTCTTCGCATGACCTATAGCTAAAATAAAACATACCTAAGTCGATTCACAAATAGCCGTGTTAAATAATTCAAAAGCTGTCCATCGTCCGGAAATAAAGTCACTTATTTGAGAGCTGTTCGAGTTGGGCCCAACTCAGACGTACCGTCAGATTTATCTTATTTTTACTAGTTTTGTACTGCGCCTTTGCTCGTGGCCATGTAGGTATTGAAAATGAATTCTTACAACCCTCGGAAGCAGTACCAAAGTAGAAAATAAATAGAATTAAATATTGAATAGCAAAAAAAGATTATATATTGTCTTGCTCTAGTCTTTAGTGATACTTCTAATAGTAGGGGAGCCCTAGAAGGGATTACGGAAATTAACTCGAGCGTGTCAGATTAACATATGGAGGAATATCTTACACCAAGTTGAGACCTCCACCATACATGAGCCCTATATATAGGAGTGAGCGTCTAGGGCAGTTCATCAGATTAGTTAAAAAAATCGGTGGTCAGAAATACTTGAACGTGTAAGATTAAGGTATGTTGGTTTAATTACATACACAGTGTGTATTTAAAAATATCTGTCGATTTAAGCGTAACATAAGGCAGTGGGAGGGTCACAAAGTAGCCAAAAATAAACACATGACCTTGTTTTTTTTCTTATTTTGAAGCAAACAATGCAAGAAATCTTTTTCAAATGTCTAAATAATTTTTCGTTCCTTTATTTGTCAAATTTATTAAAAAAAAAGGGATTTCTAACCGTCAGATTTAAAATACCCTGCAAAATTATCGTCAGGTTTTTGCGTAGCGTGATAGGGTCATCAAATTGAACCGTCTGTATAAAATCTAACGCACTCGGGTATTTCAAAATGGCGATTTTTCGAATTTGCAGTTTGTATTTTCGAAAATTCGCTACTAGTTTGTGTCACTTTAAAATCGTCAGACCTTTCATTAGGGACATTTTCGACGTCCAAATAACATATGATCTCCAAAATATCTAATGCGCCTGAATATTTTTTTACGATTTCCTTTTCCCACCCCTTAACTTTATAACTTTCTATTATCTTATCTTTTAAATGCAATAGCTCCCCATATCGGTCGTGTAATTCCCCATTTAGCATGATGGGCTTCGATTCGACACCCACCCGACAAATAACTTTGTGTGGAGCACGATAGTTTGTTCTATGTCTGGGTATACTTTATCTATAATATGTATGTATTTAAAAATATATAAGTATGTTTATAAGCAGTGTGTTTATTATAGTACAGGCTCTGCCTAGTTTGGGATCAGACGGCCGTATATGCGATATGTGAGGTTACTTTTATTACCTAGATTAGACGATTTGGTCTATTTTAAATAACTGCCGTTAGATTACAACATCTCTCCTTTAGAGATCTTTTTAGTTTATAGTCATTTTATTCATAAAGTGTGAATAGGCAACGCCCAGTTCATTATGGCACATGTGAGTTAAGCCTTCGGGAGATTTTGGAGAGCCAGTGAATGAGCAGCGCTAATGCAGGATCGGACGTGATATCGGCTTTATGATAAATAGACGGATTTTCGAGTATTTTGTATGGAGAGTTTAGGGTCCCGATTCCATCTCTAAAGCATTTAGAATAGTTTTTCATATAAACAAGTCACGTGATTCGTTTAAAACTCATTGTTTTATTACCACTTTCATTATAAAGACTAGGTTTTAGGCCCATGACGTTACTCGCATTAACGTATTTGTCAATTTTTATTAGGAGAGCCTTGCTTTGGGCCTGCTCGATCGGAGCTATGCCACGGCCTTATAGGAAGCCGGTTTTAACCAATGATATTATAAACAAACATTGATATTTGACTGCACGGATGGCGTAGTGGATTAAGCGGTCGCCACGCTGCTTGCTACTACGCTGAGTGTTGTGGGTCCGATCCCTATATGGGACGACACTTTGTGTGATCCACAAGGGGTAGATACGCCACTAACGCACAAAACGCGAGGATCCTAATTAGGACCAATACGTGCGACCGCGCGTACTCATTATTTTGAGAAAATTCATAAAATGCCTTCCTGTGTATTCCAAAAGTGCACAAATTACGACGTAAAGGTAAATAAAGATAAAGGAATTATCATACCACGTAAGTTTTGTCTACGGTTACGGACCATTTTTTTGTGTATCCTGTGTCGCGGGGGACTTTACAAATATTCATGAAACGGACATAAAGAACACCCAGACTCAGAACTACAATTTGTGGATCACACAAGGTGGTGTCCCGTGTGGGGGTCGAACCCACAACACTCAGCGCATTTCGGGAGTGGCGCCAGAAGTAAAAACTATATATATACAGAGGTGT